GCTATTGATTTCTACAAACCTTGGTAACAGTTGTCCTCGGTTTTCGATTTCTTCATGATGGTATTACCATTTGGCGTTGTATTCTCCACGTCACTGGAAAAATTAACTCCAAATGGGTTCACAGAGGATTTTTTTGCATAAAGGGCAGATAGATGAAGAAATAAGTACCGTTTCGGTAAAGGCATTGTCAGAAACGTAGTACTGCCGTCTTCAGCAGGGCTTGAATATGGGTCAGATGACTTTTCACTGTAGGGAAATTCACTAGACGAAACAAACGACTCCTCATCTACACTATAACAATCGCTGAATTCTTCTTGACTATCACATTGCACCGAAACTGTGTACGAAGTATGAAGCAGTGAGTTATTGATGGTTCCATTTTGTTTATTCAGCTCAGGCATGCTGTAAGATACAGGTAGAGAGACTGTTGCCTCAAACTCATTCGAGTAGCACGGAGTAAAAACAACGGAAATTTGGTGCTCAGCAAAACCATCGTTTTCACGACACGCACAGTTTTCCAGATCTGAGTGGTCTTCATGTGTCGTATTGCACTGTTTATGTGCCAAAAGACCATTTGCAATGATTACAGACTGATCATCATCAACTGTGTAGTCGGTCCATGCCGGACCGAATAAAATGGAATTAAAGCGTGAGCAAATAGCAGGAATACCAAACTGAAGAGGCCTCGATTTATTACTCTCATCATTGAGCGGCTCTTTTGAACTGAAGACGGCATTTTTGAAATCCGGATCGAATTCTGGCGAGTATGATGGGTGGAAGCTGTCCGAACTGTCGACTGACGCGGACCTCGACTTCAACGCCAACGACTCCTCATCAAGTGCATCCGCACTCGTGCGTGGCTCCGTGAAATTGTCACCTCTACCTGGTTGCGCGGGTGAAAGCCATCGATAAATCCATGCGACAAACATGACTAGCCAGGCGAAAACATCAATATAGTCATCAGAATCGATCTGTGGCGAGCTCAGCCTGCGCTAGGATAGTGGAAGGGAACACCTGACGGTTTTGATTCCAACTAACAGGTGGCCAAAGCTCGACGGGGCGGTCCCAGGCGACACCGCGGCCAAGTCGACGCGACGCCCGCTGCCGGGCTGGAGCTAACAAGAGACGGGAACAATTGAATTTTATGCACTCCAGTCTGAAATGCTGCTTGCCATGCTGCTCAAATTCGGAGATGGAGGTACTTGTAAGAGATACAGGCTCGAATTCATCAGATACGGCAGAGAGAAGTATGCGAAGTGTTCAATGCACTGCACGTAAAAAGCAGCACTTCGTCACTTGATTGATTTTCTAGTGCGGCTCATGGTGTAGCGAGAAAGAAATGCCTGGATATTATAGCCGCTCAGCATTAAGGGAGCAAGCATGCACCTGAGCACGTAAAGTCACTAATTTTTCTTTGCT